AAGAACTGAAAGCAAAAGGGAAAGAAAAGAAAAGAAAAGAAACAGAAAAAAAAGAAGAAAGGCAAGAAATTGGAGAAAAAGAAAAAACGCAAATGAAAAAAGAAAGAAAAAAGGAACGTAAAAGATAAGAACAAAAGAAGAAAAAAAAGAAAAAAAACGAGTAGCGAGAAAAAGGAAAGAAAAGAAAAAAGAGAGAATAAGAAATTTAAGAAAAGAAAAAAGAAATAAAAAGAAAAGAAGAAAAGAAAAAATTAAAGGGGAAAAGAAAGAAATAGAAGAAAAAGAAAAACGCCAAAAGAAAAAAAATTGAAAGCAAATTCAAAAAAGATAGAGAAAAGAAGAAAAGAAAAGGAAAATACAAAGGTGTAAAGAAAGAAATAAAAGAAAAAAAAGCAAAAGAAAAAATAGAAATCAAAAGAAAAGAAGAAAGGAAACGAAATGGAAAATAAAAAAGTAGAAAACTAAGAAGTTGAAAAACGCAATAAAAGTAGAAAGTAAAAGAAAAAAATGAAGAAAAAGAGAAAAGCAATTAATAGAAGAAAAATAAAAAAAACATGTAAAAAAGAATAGAAGGCAAAAGAAATGAAAACGATGAGAAATAAGCAATAAAAAAGGAAAAAAATTAAGAGTAGAAAACAAAAGGAAATAAAAAGAAAAGAAGAAGAAGAAGAGATAGAATAAACAGAAATAGAAAAGATAAAAAGTATAACAAAAGGGAAGAAAAAGAAAAGGAAAAATAATTAATGTAGAAATGCAAGAGATCAAAGAAAAAGAAAAACGCAAATGAAAAGGGAAGAAGAAATAAAGAAGAACAAAAAATTGAAATGAGAAAATAGCGAAAAGAAGAAAAACAAAAAAATAAAAAGAAAGAGGAATAGAAAAAAGGAAAGAAAAAGAACAAGAATGAAGGAAAAAAGAAAAACGAGGAAAGAAGAAAAAGAGAAACGGAAAAAAAAACGAACAGAAAACAAAAGGAAAACAAAAAGAAAAGAAAAAAAGAATGAAAAAATGAAAGCGAAAAAGAAAAAAAAAATAAGCGAAAAAGAAAAAGGAATAAAAAAAAAAGGAAAGAAAAAGAAAAGAACAAAAATGAAAGAAAAAAGAGCAGCGAAAAAAGAAGAAAAAGAATGGAAAAGAAAAGTAAAGAAAAACAAAGAAGAAGAAAAAACTGATAGAAGAAAGATAAGCAAGAAAAGAAGAAAAAGAATAAACCGAAAAGAAAAAGTGTGGAAAAGAAAGAGAAAACAAGGAAAGAGAAAAGAAGATGGCGGAAAGAATAGGAAAAAAGAAAAGAAAAGTGTGTGTATAAATGAAAACGCGAAGAAAAGAAAGATATAGAAATAGAAAGAGAGAATAGTAAAAGAAAATAAGAGAGAAATCTAAAAGATAAGAAAGGAAAAATAAATGAAATGAGAAAGAAAAGAGAGGAAATATAGCAAAAGAGAGTAGAGAGAAAAGAATGAGTAGAAAATGATAAGAAAAGAAATAAAAAAAGGAAAATAAATGAATAAAAGAGAAAAGAAAGAAAAGACTCAAGAGAGAAAAAGAAAGCAAAAAAAAACAAAAATAAAAAAGTAAAGGAAAATAGAAAAGAAAGAAGAGAAATGATAAAAGGAGGAAAGGAAACGAAAAAGAAAAAAAGAGAGAAGGGAAATGAAAAAGAAATGGAAAAGAAAAACAGAAAAGAAAGAAGAGAAATGCTAAAAGAAAAAGAATGAAAGAAAAAACTAAAACGGAAAATAGAAAAGAAAAAAGAGAAATGATAAAAGGAGGAAAAGAAGAAAAGAGAGAAGGAAAATGAAACAGAAAAGAAAAAAAGAAAGAAAAGGAAGCAAAGAAATGAGACGAAAAAGAATATAAGACAGAATAGAAATGAAAAGAGAAAAAGAAAATGTAGAAAAGGAAGAAAGAAAAAAATAAAGCAAAAAAGAAAACGCAGAAGAGAAATAAAAAACGAAAAGAAAAAACAAAGTAAAGAAAAGGAAAATAGAAAAGCAAGAAGAAAAGAAAAAAGAGAAAATGATAAAACTAAGGAAACGAAAACGTAAAGAAGAAAAAGGAGAAAGAGAAATAAAAAGAAAAGTAAAAAGTTAAGAAAAGGAAAGAATAATCCGATATTGTGAAACAGAGATTAATCATCGGATTAATTAATTAATCATCAGATTAATTAATTAATTATTTTTATTGTCGTCAAAACTGGCATCAAAATTATAACTTATAATTTAATTATGAGATTTTGATGAGTCATTTTGGAGGTGGAATTATTTTATTTATTTTATGAAGGCTAATGTTTTTCTTTTTCTATTTCTTTTTCAAATGAAACCCACGCGATCTGTTAAAAATGAATCAATCATTTAATATATATATATATATATATATATATATATATATATATATATATATATATATACCGATATGTGCAATTCAACCTTTTCAAAGTCATCCTCTTGTGACAGTGGGTTGTGTTATGGGGGAAAAATCGGAAATATGATTGATTAGTTTTTTACGGCTTGTCAACCTTTTTCAGGTTATTTAAAGCCAGAAAATATTTTTAGATTGTAAGAATTTTTGGTTTAGTGATACAAATCTTACTAATTAACACATAGCTGGGGGGGATCAGATCTGATCAGAATTTGATAAACAAACAATAATGCGGATATAAAGTGGGGGATCAATTTCATATTATAATGAATATATAAACTGATCCCTCACTTTGTGACCACTGTAGTTTCTATACATGTATATTCCAGGGAACGTAAATAAATCCAAGAGACATGCCTGTGTAACTAATCAATGTTTCATTGATTTAATTGATTCGTTTTTTATGGCTTATCAACACTTTGCAGGTTATTTAAATCCAGAAATTACAATGGGAATATAAAGTGAGGGTTCAATTCTATATTACAATCAATATGTAAACGGATTCCTCACTTTGTGGTCACGGTAGTTTCTATACATTTGTATTCTAGAGAATGTAAATATATCTAAATGACATGTCTGTGTAGTGAATTAGTATTTTATTGACTGACTGATTCATTTTCTACGGTTTATCAACCCTTTGCAGGTTATTTAAAGTCAAAATTATAATGTGGATATAAAGTGGGGGTCGATTATAGATGGCACTTAATATATAAACTGATCCCTCACTTTATGACCACAGTAATTTCTATACGTCTATATTCCAGAGATATGTAATGTGATCAAAAAGACATGCCTGTGTAACTAATCAGTGTTTCATTGATTAATTGATTCGTTTTTTCATGGTTTATCAACCGTTTGTAGGTTATTTAAAGCCAGAGAATATTTTTACATTGTAAGAATTTATTTTTTCTTAGTCATTTATGGATTTTGGCATTATTTTCTCTTCATGTTAGATGCGTTATCGATTTTAGCTGTTGCTGTTGTTAAAAGTCCTCAAGTGATGTGGTTTCTCTTATCTGGTAGAGTTCTTTGTGATTGTGTAGCGCCAGTTTCCAATGTTCGAAGAAGTACAGTGTTCGCCAAGACCCATCGACTTCACTAGCTCAAAGCCATTTTTAACCACTGATCTTAGAAAGCGGTTGTATACAGTTGACAGTTTAGATATTTCTGAACGTGTTTGGCGCCCATGCATGGACTCCATATGAAAGTCACGATGTGACAAGACTATTTAAGGATATGACTCGTGTTTTCAGATTGATGTTTTGGTTTAGTAACAATTTGTAGTGTTGTGTGAAACTACCTCTGGAACAGCCTATTCTATATATTCAGTTTCCTTTTCTCCTATACTAAACTTGTTATAACTGATCAATACACCGAAGTATTTGAAGTGTTTAGTATTTACTCACTTCACATGGGTTACAGAAATACTGATTGGAAATACTATTTTGTAGCATTCTAGACTCATCATTTATTCTTACTGAAAATTACACACACACACACACACACATATATATATATATATATATATATATATATATATATATATATATATATATATACAGATGAGCATAGGCTTCCAAAAAGGTGGTGTATAGACAACTACCAAACTCCTAGCGTTCAGTTGGACTTCCACACATGCTACAAAGACAAATTGAAAGACAACTTAAAGCGTCTGAACTTTGATCTGAAAACCTGTCAGTGTGGCTTTGTTGCCCGCAGCAAGACTGGGCTAGTATCACACTTAAGAAAGCACGAATGAAATATATCTTTCCCTTACCTGATTTTCTCCACAATAGCCCCTGCTAGCATGCATAAGTATAAAACAAAAGGCACCTTCAAATGCTGGCCCTCATTTATCGTTCGCGATAAGAGAGTCCACCATATATATATATATATATATATATATATATATACAAATGTTTGGAGGTACAAAATTTATAAATAGTTTTTAAAAACAAGGAAACCATTGATTTTAATTTTAAAAGTCTCTAGGGCCCTTTCAGCCAACATCTCATCAGGAGACAATCGTTGGATAAGCGAAATGAATAATAACGATATTGAAGAGCAAAAAAGAGGGGGAAACACACTAAAATAACGAACAAGTATATATACTTTTGCTCTTCAATATCGTTATTATTCATTTCGCTTATCCAACGATTGTCTCCTGATGAGATGTTGGCTGAAAGGGCCCTAGAGACTTTTAAAATTAAAATCAATGGTTTCCTTGTTTTTAAAAATATATATATATATATATATATATATATATATTAGATGAGTTGGATTAAATCCGACAAATAAAGGAGAAATTATGATGTTGATATAAAGTAGGGGATTTATTCTATATTAAAATCAATGTATAAAGTGATCCCTTACTTTATGGCCACGCATACACATTTTGTTGTAACCTAGAAAGGATTACTGAATAAGGAATAATAAATGTTGGAAATGAAATGGTAATCTTTATAACATCAACAAAATACAATACTCGCCAGCAGCGTGAAGTATATAAACCACTGCTAGTGGTGAACTACTTAGACAGCATATTGCCCCCCCCACTTACAATAGTGTCCAACATATTTATGAGGATTAGAACTTACCCATTAGTGTTCATAGATACGCTGTTTAACAATTTCTTTCTTTCCTTCTTTCTTTCTTTCTTTCTACGTGCCATTCTTTTTCTTTCTTTCCTTCTTTCGATTATTTTCCTCTTCTTTTTTCTTCACGTCTTTCTTTCTTTCTTTCTTTCTTTCTTTCTTTCTACGTGCCATTCTTTTTCTTTCTTTCCTTCTTTCGATTATTTTCCTCTTTTTTTTTTCTTCACGTCTTTTTTTTTTTTTTTTCTTTCTTTTTTCTTTTACGTGCCATTTTTTTTCTTTCTTTCCTTCTTTCGATTATTTTCCTCTTTTTTTTTTCTTCACGTCTTTCTTTTTCTTTCTTTCTTTCTTTTTCTTTCTTTCTTTCTACGTGCCATTCTTTTTCTTTCTTTCCTTCTTTCGATTATTTTCCTCTTCTTTTTTCTTCACGTCTTTCTTTCTTTCTTTCTTTCTACGTGCCATTCTTTTTCTTTCTTTCCTTCTTTCGATTATTTTCCTCTTCTTTTTTCTTCACGTCTTTCTTTCTTTTTTCTTTCTTTCTTTCTTTCTTTCTACGTGCCATTCTTTTTCTTTCTTTCCTTCTTTCGATTATTTTCCTCTTCTTTTTTCTTCACATCTTTCTTTCTTTCTTTCTTTCTACGTGCCATTCTTTTTCTTTCTTTCCTTCTTTCGATTATTTTTTTTCTTTTTCTTTTTTCTTCATCTTTCTTTCTTTCTTTCTTTCTTTCTTTCTACGTGCCATTCTTTTTCTTTTCTTTCCTTCTTTCGATTATTTTCCTCTCTTTTTTTTTCACGTCTTTCTTTTTTTTTTCTTTCTTTCTTTCTTTCTTTTTTTCTACGTGCCATTCTTTTTCTTTCTTTCCTTCTTTCGATTATTTTCCTCTTCTTTTTCTTCTTCTTTCTTTCTTTCTTTCTTTCTTTCTTTTCTACGTGCCATTCTTTTTCTTTTCTTTCCTTCTTTCGATTATTTTTCTTCTTTTTTCTTCACGTTTTTCTTTCTTTCTTTCTTTCTTTCTACGTGCCATTCTTTTTCTTTCTTTCCTTCTTTCGATTATTTTCCTCTTTTTTTTTCTTCTTTCTTTCTTTCTTTCTTTCTTTCTTTCTTTCTTTCTTTCTTTCTTTCTTTCTTTCTATTCCTTTCCTCTTTCTTTTTTCTCCACGTCATTCTCTTCTTTCTTTCAATTCTTTCGATTCCTTTCCTCTTTCCTTCTTTTTCTACGCGTCATTCTTTCTTTCTTTCTTTCTTTCTTTCTTTCTTTCTTTCTTTCTTTCTTTCTGTTGTAACCTAGAAAAGGTTACTGAAAGAGGAATAACCAACACGAAGGTTGGAAATGTAATGGTAATCTTTTAACATCAAGAAATACAATGCTCGCCAGCGGCGTGAAGTAGGTAAACCACTGCTAGTGGTGGATTACTTAGACAGCAGCTTAGCCTCCCCTTTCCTTACAATAGTATCCCACGCACTTATGACGATTGGGACATACCCATTAGTGTTCATAGGTACAGAATAACACATTTATATTCCAAAAATGTAAATAAATCTAAAAACTATGCATGTATTGTAATTCTATAGTATTTTCTTTCTTTTCATTGTTTTTTCTTTTCGTCTTGCAAGCTACTCTATTTGTAGTATTTTTCATTTGTCCCCTTTTATTATGTCTGTTTTTATTGCTTTAATAAATTTTTCTAACTCTAATAAGATTTTTAAAAAACAGTTTATTATGGACGGAAACATTTGGGAATATTTACGCAGAGGACATCTAAAAAGAGAAATATAATCTCTAATCATTGCAATCCAGTATGAATGTATAAAATTTTATGTCAGAGATCGAAAAAATACAGAACAATATCAATACAGAACAATATCAAACTAAATATTTTGAGGGTTAGCGAAAAACTAACAAGATTTTGGGTCTTAGATTTCTGTGAGAAACTCTTGGCACTCAATTTGCGTGTTGTGAATTGAAAATGGATGAAAGGAATTGTCAGTGATCAGAAATTAATGGGAACATTATTACGAGAATTGGGCTATTATATGTATAATGTAAAGGCATTACGAATGATTTTACTATAGGAATGCATTGCAAATGAGGAAGAAAGGGATTGTCAGTGGTCAGGAATGAATGCAAGCATTACTGATAGAATAGGGCTATTATATATATAATGTAAATACATTGCTAGTGATTTTACTATAGGAATGCATTGCAAATGAGGAAGAAAGGGATTGTCAGTGGTCAGGAATGAATGCAAGCATTACTGATAGAATAGGGCTATTATATATATAATGTAAATGCATTACGAATGATTTTACTATAAGAATGCATTGCAAATAAGGAAAAAGGGATTGTCAGTAGTCAGGAATGTAGGCAAGCATTACTAAAAAGATAATATTACTATATGCATAATGTAAATGTACGAGGTGGGCTAACTATGAAGGGGTGATGCTAGAATTGTGAAATCTTGCATTCATTAATTTCTATTCTTCTTATTACTAACTACATTATTTCTTTTCAGCCAAATTGATATCTGACAATTCAAAGAAGACTGTTTATCCTGTTGATAAAAAAAAGTCATCAACAGTCGCTATGACATCATCATCAATGCCATATTGGTTTCAATCTGTTTTTGATGTTGGGGAACAGATGATAGTCAAATTAGGAAAATAGGGTGAATGTTCAACCAGTTCAAAGCCACAGTTCCACACAGCAGCCATTGAAACTTGTGCGCTGGAGCATTGTCCTGATGAAACCACGCCCCTTTCGTCAGTGTTCTTGGGTGTTTCGTCTTAGTAGCCTTTCGTAGCTGCTTCAGCAAATTGGAATAGTGCTCTCCATTGATAGGTACTCGGACGTTTGGCCGAACGAACATTTGACCGACGGACATTTAACCGAATGGATATTTGACCGACGGAGATTTCGAGTAACGGATATTTGGCCAACGGACATTTAACTGAATGAAGATTTGGCCAACGGACATTTAACTGAATGGACATTTGACCGACGGACATTTAGCCGATGGACATTAATTGAATGGACATTTGCCGGATATTTCCTATAAAAATGCATTGAACATGATTTTACAATGAATATTCATTGCAAATAATTTTATTATAAAAATGCATTGGCCAATGATTTTTACTATGATAATGCATTGGAAACGATTCTTACTATGAAAATGCATTGGAAGTGACTTTTACTATGAAAATGCATTGCAAATGATTTTTACTATGAAAATGCATTGGCCAATGATTTTTACTATGAAAATGCATTGACCAATGATTTTTACTATAAAAAATGATAATTTTACTATGAAAAATTGCCCAAATTTTTACTATGAAAATACATTGAAATGATTTTTTTTACTATAAAAATTCATTGGAAATAATTTTACTATGAAAATGCATTGCCCAATGATTTTTACTATGAAAATGCATTGGAAATGATTTTTACTATGAAAATGCATTGGCCAATGATTTTTACTATGAAAATGCATTGGAAATAATTTATGAAAATATTGAAATGATTTTTACTATGAAAATGCATTGGGCAATAATTTTACTATGAAAATGCATTGAAATGATTTTACTATGAAAATGCATTGGCCAATGATTTTTACTATGAAAATGCATTGAAATGATTTTTACTATTGCCAAAAATGAAAATGCATTGGCCAATGATTTTTACTATGAAAATGCATTGCCCAATGATTTTTACTATGAAAATGCATTGGCCAATGATTTTTACTATGAAAATGCATTGGCCAATGATTTTTACTATGAAAATGCATTGGAAATGATTTTTACTATGAAAATGCATTGGCCAATGATTTCTACTATAAAAATGCATTGGAAATGATTTTTACTATGAAAATGCATTAGCCAAGGATTTTTCTATGAAATTGCATTGGAAATGATTTTTACTATGAAAATGCATTGGAAATGATTTTTATGAAAATGCATTGGCCAATGATTTTTACTATGAAAATGCATTGGAAGAGATTTTTGCTATGAAAATTCATTGAAAATGATTTTACTGTGAAAATCCATTGAAATAATTTCACCATGTAAGTAAATTTAGTATGGAAATACATTGCAATGATTTTACAATAAAAATTGCAAATAACTTTACTATAAAAATGCATTAGACTTAGAAATTGATTGCAATCAGAAATAATACCAAGTGTTACTCATAGAATAGGCTCATTCTATGAGTTTTGTTTCGATATCGTCTTGTCTACTTACAATCTTCCAGTTTTTTCATCATCTTGAAGATCTCAAGATCTTTCCAAAGCCGTGCCACTTTAGGAGTCACAGAGAATTTAAAAAAAAAAATATTGTCTTCCTCAACAGCTTCCCAGGCGTCTGATAAATTTCAAAGTGTATTTTTAGCTTCTTGTAAAAGTTTCTCATCGGATGAATATCAGCCTTAAAAAATGTGTGGGAAACACAATTTGACAGAACGTCTTGTCGTCTGGCTAATCATTTTCGTGTCGAATTTTTAGAAGACGCGGCATTCAACGCTTGTGTTTCAGCCAGAACTCAGTCGAAATTAGACAATCAGTTGAATTAAAATAATTAAAACGCGAAGGTTTATTTATACACTGAAGTTAGTGACATAAGATTTAAGTAAAAATATTTCAGCGTTACAGATTCTTGTTTGTTTATTGTGAACCAGGCTCAACGTATTGTGAGTCGAAATTTGGAAATCAAACGGCTCAAAAAATAACATATCCTTCTGACCTCTGTTTAAACCAGTATTTACCAAAGTGGGGGCAAGCGCCCCCTTGTGGTTTCTATTCATATTTAATGAGGCACGAGGAGTTTTGATTTCATTTGGAAGCGGTGAAACTACTCAAAGAGGCGATAATCATTTATTAATCTTTTTTTTCTTCAAATTTTAAAAAATTATTCAGTACTGGCTCCAAAAGAAAATTTCGGAAAGATATCTAAAGTCGTAGAAAGCTATTAAACTTTTCTTCATTAGTTTTCCAATTTCCTATATGGCTGAATGTCGTTTCAAAGCAGTTATACGGATTCTTACTTAACAAAGAAACTGCATGAAAATTACAAAACGAGGAGATATCTGATTACTTCTAAGCAACATGGAACCTAGAGTAATAGCCTTAGCCACTAATCACCAAAGTCAATCATTGCATTGAAAACATTGAGATAAGCTATCAAATGAACCTAGAGTAAGAACCAGTAAGACAATGAACCGGTTGAAAACATTGAGATAAGATCAAAGTGAACCTATGAACAATTTTACAGGGCTTGAACAAATGGGGCTTTAAAATACACACAAACAGAACAATCGAAGATAATTGCTCAGACATCGTGATTAAAGACTGCAAAAACAGAATGTACTTTCTTATTAACTTTGCAGTCTTGCAGATTGTAACGTAACTTTGAAGATCTTCAAAAGGCTATCAAAATACAAGGATGTTGATGTGTAAATCTTAAAATTATGGCACATAAGGACATCAGTAATTCCACTTGTAGTTGGTACCCTTGGATTGATTAGAAAAGGTTCCGATAGACTCATTGAAGGGATTCCTGGTAGCCCATGCCTTAAAAAATACAAAAAAAATCTACTCGCAATTACAGCTGACACATTACGAAGAGATTTACTCATGTAAATTTATGTTTACTTATTTAAATTGCTTATGTAAATTTACTTATGTAAATTACTTATATAAATTACTTATTTAAATTTATATATTATATATATAAATTACTTATGTAAATTGTCATGTTGGGGTCCCAGTTATGGGTAAAATAGTGAATCCTCCAAACAACATGAAAGTATAAAAACACATTTTATAAAATAAAACTACCAGCAATACATTTTTATATAAAACTAATTACCAACAATAAATTTTATAGCTAAACGACCAACAATACTTATTATCTGTAGTTGAAGCCATGGAATTGAGTTTAAAATGTATAAATTTTTGCATTAAATAACACATAAATGTTGATATGACGCTAAATTCAACCAAACAACCAACATGGAAGTATTTTTATGACATTAATACATATGCAATATAATTGACCCTGATCTGGCATCTCGTCTACAGTCGCTTTCTCACAGACGTGCCGTCGCCTCTCTCTATCTTTTTTACAAATACTTTCATGGTAATTGCTCCGATGAGCTGTTTTCGCTGGTTCCCAGACTTCATGAGTTCAAGCGCCCTACGAGGCTGGCATCCCGCTCTCACTCTTTCACTGCTGAAACTGTTAAATGTAGCTGTCTCTTCTACTCTAATAGCTTCGTGTCTCGCACCTC